TCTAACTATAATTAATTTACAGACATGGAGGAAGCTAAATAGACCGGCCATGATGCATACACAGAAAATCGCCAAGTATGTTACAGGGAGGCTTATCAATTTTGAAGGAGAAGTAATTCTAAACGTAAAATTCCAAGGTAAAACGAAAAAAAAAATGAAGATATTTGTAATGAAAGACACAGAATATTTGGTGGGCACGGATTGGATGCAAAAATTTGACGTATGGGATTTACCTATTAGCTCATTTTGTAAGAAAATAGAGTGCGAACCGTCAGAAGCTACAAAATTAAAAGAAGAATTACACAGGCAATTTCCCGAAGTATTCTCGAGCGGTTTGGGACGATGTAATAAGTTTTCAGCTAAAATTGAACTAAAGGAAAATGTTCAACCAGTATCCAAGAAAAAGCGAAACGTGCCTTTCACAACCATAGAAAAAATTGACAAGGAGTTAGATAGATTGGTACAAACTGGAATCCCTTCAAAAATCGAATTTAGTGAATGGGCGGCACAAGTGGTCTACGTAAAGAAAAAATCCGGAGAAACACGTGTTTGCGCAGATTTCTCGACTGGGTTAAATAAGGCTATCAAGGATTATCACTACCCATTGCCAAGCTCGGAGGAAATATTTACCAAGCTTAACGGTGGTAAGGTATTTTCTAAGATTGATTTAAGCGAAGCTTATCTTCAGATTCCAGTAGAAGAAGAAAGTACAAAAATTTTATGTATCAATACTCACAAAATACATTACAAATTTAACAGATTACCATTTGGGATAAAAGTAGCACCGTCAATCTTTCAACAGACTATGAATACCATGCTCATAGTACAGAACTTTGCTACTGCTTACTTAGACGACATTTTAATCAAAAACGATAATGTAGAAGAACACGCAACGCATATTAAAGAAGTCTTTAAAAGAATTCAGGATTTTGGTTTTAAAGTAAAGGAGGAAAAATGCGATTTTTTTCCTAAAAGAAATCAAGTATCTAGGCCATATAATCAATGAAAGTGGCAGAAAACCAGATCCAGATAGGGCATCTGTAATAAAAAATATGCCTGAGCTGAAAAATGTCGCAGAGTTGCAATGCTTTCTTGATATAGCGAACTATTACGGTGAATTCATTGAAAACATGCACAAATTGAGGGCTCCCTTCAATGAATTATTGAAAAAAGATAAATGGAACTGGACGGAAGATTGTCAGAAAGCTTTTAAGAAATTAACGTCTGATCCCAAATTGGAAATTATCATTGCTACTGAGGCAAGCTCACACGGAGTGGGAGTTTGTATATTACACAAGATGCCGGATGGTACAAGGAAACCTATAGCTCACGCATCTAGATCGTTGTTACCAGCAGAGAGGAATTATTCGCAAATTGAGAAAGAAGCGTTAGGCATAATATTCGCCATAACTCGCTTCCACAGATATATATATGGAAGAGAGTTTACTCTTCAAACTGACCATAAACCTCTTTTCACTATATTCGGATCGAAAAAAGGACTACCAATTTACACAGCCAACAGACTTCTGAGATGGGGAACTATATTATTGAATTATAATTTCAAACTAGATTTCCTACCGTCGAAGAAAATTGGTCATTGGGATGGATTATCTAGATTGGTACCTGCGAAATGCGAACCTCTGGAAGACTCGGTAATAGCGGCTTTGCGAGCCGAAGACGAAATTAGTAAAGTTCTAAACAATACAGTAAGGGAATTACCAGTGACATTGTTAGAAATCAGAAGAGAAGCTGAAATGAATTCATACAAAGTACAAAGAGAAAAATAGAAGAAAAAAAGAAATCTAGCGGAGTGTTTTTCAATTTGTAATCACGTATTACTTTATAATGAAAGAGTGGTCATACCCATTTCTTTACAAAGACGAATTCTGAAGGACTTTCATCTAAGACACCCAGGGAAAAATCGTATGAAAGCGTTAATGAGAGTTTCGTGTATTGGCTTAATATGGATAACGACATTACTCAAATGGTAGAAAAATGTAGAGGCTGTGCTGCAGCAGCAAAGGCACCACATATTATACAAAAACCATGGCCTAAGGTGGACAGACCTTGGTCTAGAATCCATGCGGATTATACAAGACCCATAGATGGATATTACTACTTGATAACGATAGATAGCTTTAGCAAGTGGCCAGAAGTTTTCAGATACAAAAACCCGACGACGGAAAACACTATTAATTGTCTACACGAGTTATTCGAAAGATTCGGCCTTGTAGATTGCCTTGTAACGGATAATGGTACCCAATTCACCTCGACTGACTTTCAAGAATTCTGTGCGACTTATCAAGTCAAACATATTAAAATAGCACCATACCAGACGATCTAACGGGCAAACCGAAAGGTTTGTGGACACGCTTAAGAGAGCCTTGAAAAAAGCAGAGGACGTACCAACAGAATGAGCCATACAACAGTTCCTATAAGTCTACAGAATCACACCGAACGGAAACACACCATCTGGCCTTTCGCTAGCTGAAGTGATGTTTGCCCGCAAAATACGGTCTGTTTTTGATAAACTATTACCCAGCAAAAATAAAAAACCGGCATACACCGATAATGCCTAAAAGATCCTTCAGACCAGGCGAACGGGTCTATTTCAGAATGTTCAAGAATAATATGGCATACTGGGAACGAGGTACGATAATAAACAGACCGTGGAATGTTCTATACACGATACAAGGTGGAAAATTCACTCACAGGAGACACATAAATCAGATACAGAAAAGACGGGTAGAGGAACTAAACTTGTCACCTTCCGAAAATGAAGACGCGATGGAGGCGATTTTCGAAGCCTTCGAAATTCAAAAACCACAAGTAGCCACGGAGATCAGAACAACAAGCCGAAAAAGAAAATTTACGGAACAACTAATAATAGGCCATAAGCGAAAAAAATATTAACTCCCCACAAAAAAGAAGCTAAGGAGTGGGGTGTTGTGGGGCTCTCCCCTTTTTACATAAGATGGACTCGTCCAATATATACTTATACTGACAGAGAGAATACCTGCTGTTGAGATACGTGGAGATACGGAGACAGACACAGGGTGCTATCAGAGAGAGAGAGAGAGAGAGAGAGAGAGAGAGAGAGAGAGAGAGAGAGAGAGAGATGATTACGGCTTTACTTACAGAGACTTGTACATATACTTTCTACTAACCCGCATTCCTGGACTACTAATTTATTCTTACGTTTAATACACTTATTTTTCTATCTCAATTACTGGCGTTGTTTATTTATTTGTCCACAACAATCACCATGCCCACAAACAGAACACAGCTTAACCAAATTGGTGGTGAAATAAACCAGTAGGAGTGTATGTGTGCGTCTACATATATATATATGTGAGTAGATATATATAATATTATCTGACGGTGCAGGCGGTAGATCTGAAAATGTTTCAAGAACGTATGGATAATCCTAGGAATATGTAATAAAAGTTTAGGGTTCCGACACCGAAATAGAATTACAACTGCGTATGTATGGACGCCCGAACGCGTGTATCTGTGCCTACCCTGAGATTGTTTTTATGGATATGTTTGTATAATGCCAAAATGCCCACATGCTGTATGCGTGTTCATGTGTATGAGTTTATCATTCCAAAAACAGAGAAGTAAATCCCCCTCCCACCACCATTCAAATAAGCATTAATATATCTAATATTAAAAATAAGCCAGTTTGTCTGATGACCGCGAAAGCATGAAACCCAAAGCCCCAAACTCATAAAATTGAATATGTTAGCTCTACCACTGATACAGTAAAACCGACCTTGCTAATCGAACGATCATCCGTGGCTCGATCGGTTAAGACACGTCAGGCTAAATGACGGTTCTGTATAGGATACAGGTTAGATTCTTGTCGGAGAACAAATATTTTCTATGAAAATTTCTCGGACATTCAGGTCGGTAAATGTTATTAATATTGTTTATTATAAAACAGCATTTACTTAAATAATTTTATCTATAAAAAGAATGTATAAAACATAAAATGTCTTAAAATAATTGTCGGACTTTGTCCATTAAGAGGATAATATATATATATATATATATATATATATATATATATATATATATATATTTATTTAAAAATATGATTCCAAATCATTTTACATAAGAGGTCTCATGTTTCAAAACAAGAGCCGAAAACTTCAATATAATCCTTTAAATTAAATTGAGTTGAAAGTAAAATGGGCTCCGTTCCATCTTCAAGCGAAATTTTTGTTATGCTTGCTGTGTATATTCCATTTTAATTTGCTGTAGTGGTTTTATAAACCAGGATATTTAAAAAAAACTATAATATACGATTTGATTTCAAGAAATGAAAAAATGAAACTTAGCCATAAAATCCTGAGAACTGAAACTACGTTTAAGAATAAAGAACGTAGAGGAAAAAAAAAAAAAAAAAAAAAAAAAAAAGAATAGGGAATAAATGTTTCATGTTATCAATCATCGTCTTATGTTTTTCTCATACCTCGATAACTTAAAAATGGATAAATGTTTCTCATGATCTCATTTTCTATTATGTTCTACACTAGAAATACGCCAGGGTCAATCTGCCCCTGTAACATTCCCTAATATTTTTTTACGACATTTAATGACAAAAGAGCATCTTTTAATGGAATAAACATAGAATTCTGAAAAAAAAACAAACACAAAAGGCTGGAAAAGACGTAATAGAATGGATAAATGTTGGTGGTGACTATAATGAAAACAACCGTTTGTAATGCTGATGATTTTTATATTATTATTATTATTATTATTGCTTAATACAAAAAAAGAAGAAAGTTACTATGGGTAATTTAATGCTAAAATCTAAATATTTTGTACGTATTTTTTGAGATAATGATTTTAGAAATACAAATTTTACTAATAACCCATAACTTTTCCTACGTTAATTGCGCGTAAGTGAATATAACGAACCCAACTGGAATTGGAACACGGCTCTCTGACTAAAAATTTCGAGGCATTGTACAATCTGTACATCAAAGTTTAAAGTACCTGGTATTCCCAAGTGGCCAACCATCTCGGTACTGAGCGGACCCGACGTTGCTTAACTTTGGTGATCATACGGGAACCGGTGATCCAACGTTATGTTAAACCAAGAGAAGAAGGCAAATGAAAAATCAATAATAATAATAATAATAAATGTCCTAATGGTACATTTGGCATGGCTCTCATGGCTTGGATGAGTTAGCATGTACGTGATTTATCTTGGTTAATTATGATCGGTTACATTAAATAACGCATGCCTTTATTATAACCAGGTATTTCTGTCTGTAGATGCGGCAGGCTGCGCGGAAATAGTGGCAGAGTATAAAGTCCGTGCGATGAGAGATTTGTTTTCTAAACTTTGAAGGATGTGGCAGCAAAGGAGACTTGGCTGTCGCATCTAGATATTTGAGAACGGGCTATATGGAGACTGTTTGAACGTACCTGGTTAGACGTCTTGAAGATATCTGGGTTCGACAAAGTTCGTCATGCATTTTTCTACACAACCTCGAGAGCTACGGTTTCTCTTGTCCAATATTAGGCTTAATCCAATCGGTTCTGGAAGATCGAGTGATGAAAGGCGAGCTGAACGGGAACGTTCATATTAATGCAGGGGTCAGTCAAATGTCTATTTCTGGACATATATTATTTCTGATCTACATAAACGACCTTTCCGATGTCATCAGTTTCGAACCGTCCAGGGTATGACGATAAACTACATTCGCGCCCTGAGCAAGACGATAAACTACGTCCAACGGCAAGACCCCTGGTAATACGTTTTTGAAAAAATAATATTACCAGTTATACGTTTTTGAAAAAATAATATTACCAGCTATACGTTTCTGAAAAAATAATATTACCAACTATACGTTTTTGAAAAAATAATGTTGCCGGCTGTACGTTTTTGAAAAAATAATATTATCAGCTATACATTTTTGAGGAAAAATATTAAGAGAAATAAATTTTTGACAAAACAAAAATATTACCAGGAAAAAAAAAGTTGTTGGCATTAAATGATCCATTGAGATTGATATACCGTAAAACAAAACAAACCAAACCAAACGAAACCAAATCATCAGTTTCTAACTAGTTATTTATGCAGATGATACAAACATTTACTGCTGTCTTAGTAGGACCGGTAAAGTAAACCCGAAAAATACTCTCAAACGGGCCTCCAAGCAGTGGTTAACTGGAGCAATGAATGATTCGAATAAAACTACGATAGAAGATATTTTCTGTCTACCTTCAGCATGTTTGATGTCAACGTTCGGGAGAACAAATCTTTGTTCTTTCTTGGTTTTACGTTTCCAACTGACATGGAGTGGAGTTATATTGAACCAATTGATAGGTTTACTGCTGGGAAATTTGGTTTACCAATGTCGTGGCAGGAGATTTACTCATCAGATATCCATCTTGTACATTTATATATCTACATTCGGGCATTGAATATTGCTACTATATCTGGTCTGGTGCTCCGACTATATATGTAGAGATAAAGGATAAACGGTCTGTAAAGCAATCGAGCTTGACATGACCTCTTGTCTGCAATCACTTTCTCACCGACGTAAAGTGGCTTCCCTCTGTCTTTTCTACAATTATTTTCGTGGCAGCTGTTCTGATGAGCTATTCTGCTTGACTCCACTGCATGAATTTAAGTTTACTTCTAGATTGGCATCTGGGTCGAATCGTTTACTATTGAAATAGCTAGATTCCACGTATGTTCCATTCTAATACTTTCTTTTATCCCTTCTGTTACCCCCCTCCTATGTCCTCTACTAACTGCAAAAAAATAAAATGCAATGCCAATCGCCATGTTCTGGATATATAAATCATCTTTTATTCTTCTTTATCCCCACAATAGTCTTTTTACAATATTTCCCAGATATTTAAATTTTCCTACATGTTTGATTTTCACACTCAAATTTTTAGTTTGCGTCTGGGGCTGTTTTAGTTTTGGTCTTCCTTTGCTCTAATTTCTTACAATTTATGTATAGTACTTTCTGTTCCCTTTGCTGTACACCATTCTTGAGGAGTTCCTGCATTCTGTGTCTGCCATGAACACTGCTTTATCTGCATATCTTATATTATTAACATTATGTCCGTTGATAATAAATCCTGACTAAACTTTCATTTAACTCAGAACTGCCTGGATGTAAAGATTGATTAAATCCGCTCCTTTCTATTTTCCATATTTTGGAATTAATGAATTCATTTTTTGTATCCGCATGTAGGCGGTTTGCTCCCAGTATAAGTTCAAGGTTTGTTCTAATATTTTTCCAAATAAATCAAGCTTATGTAGCATATCAAAGAGTTCTTTGTCACTATTTATATTATTCGGACTATTGTCCTCATCTTTGTCGCCATATTTATTACAACGTTTCGGCCGTTGTATGCTCCGGCCTTCTTAAGGTGGTTGGAATGTTGAACAGAACCCTTTATTTCGCTCACTGGGATAGACTATTCTAGTTCCACGTGCCATGTTTAATGGATGTCAATTATCAGTTATCTCCTGTTAATTCCCCTCTCCAAGTTCTCCACAGCCATAACCGGGTATTGAACTCACACACTTTGGGTCCTGTCACTGGATCTAACTAACTCCTCTATCCACTGTGCCATGTGTCCTTGAGAACATATGGAACAGTGGATAAAGGCGTTAGTTAAGGCAGTGGAGAACTTGGAGAGGGGAATTAACAGGAGATAACTGATAACTGACATGCATTAAATATGGAACTAGAACAGTCTACACCCGTGAGCGAAATGAAGTGTTCAGTTCGACATTCCAACCACTGAAGAATGCCGGAACTTACAACGGCCGAAATGTTGTAATAAATATGGCGACAAAAATGAGAACAATAGTCCGAATAATGTAAATAATTGTTCTTTTATTTACCATTTAGCTTAATACTTTCTCATGGCTTACTCGCTCTGTCAATGGAATTCTCAAATGTTCATTATTCCAATATTTTTATTGCATCTAGTTTCCATTTATCGACCATTAACTGCCGAACAGGAAGTTGAATATCACATACAAAATCAGTACTCTTAACTTTTTAACTAAATCTAGCTGATTCCTCATACTTTGCCTAGCATTTGAAATACATATTTTACTGATCAAATAGGCGTTCGCATTTCGGAATCGCATTTTCCATCCTCCGGTAATAAAATTCCCAAATATTTAAACTTATATACTTAATGTTGAGAGCTCCAATTTCTAGTTCCAATTGTGAATTTTTCTCTTGCTCACAACTCTACCTTTAATTTTCTTAAAGCTGATTGCTGGTCCGTTTCTCTTTCATTTACTATCTACTGTGGTATGAAAGTGTCATAAGCAGACTATGAAACAGTGATATTAGAGATGTGAAATATCGCATACATTAATTTCGACACTTGTTCTTAATAACGTCAGATGTAACTAGTAGCGACTTCTCTTGAAATTAGACAAGATTTGGCATCGTGATGTTATAAGGTAGCTGTTGAAAAAGGGACATTAATTCTGACATGGTTGCTAGATTAGAGTGCTGACGCTCCAGCTGTATAAACAGTACAAAATGCACAGTTAAACTTTTGAGGGAAAAGGGGTGTTTGAAGATGATCCAATATTTGGACGGGTTCACCACATGGTGATGGTTGACGGGCAATTGACTATAAAAGAAATAGCTATAATGCTATTAGCAAATCCCGTGAGAAAGTGCAAGGGATTTTAAGCAATATAGCATAACGAAGATTTGCTGCACGATGGACGCAACGTTTTCTGATAACTAATCAGAAGACTACCAGGGTGACCATATCGCTGGAAAAATCTGACATTGTACCAGATCCAGCTGTTTTCCGAACCCACGATGAATGTTGGGTTCCTCACTCTCAACCAGAAGCAGTGATATGTGCCCGATCATTTGGTTTCAATATTTTGACACTCCTTGTACAAAATGCTTACAGTGGAAACAACCCATATCTGCTCCAAAGTGCACCAAGATTGTGTTGATCTGCAGTTAAGGCGGTGGTCCTATTTTTTTTTAAAATACATTGTGTTTTATTGATTATGTTCAAAAGGAGCACACCATCAATGAAGAATACCGTGCCAAATTTCTGAGGCAATTACGAAAGGCTGTCAAGACCAAAGGCCCAGAAAAAATTTGATAAAGGAGTCTTGTTTAAACAAAGCAATGTTCAAGAGCACAAGTCATTGGTTTCAACAATTGCTGTGTGTGACTGTGGCTTTGAATTAGTTGATCATCCTCCCTATCCTCCTGACTATCATCTGTTCCCCAACATATAAAACACCAATATTGCAGTGATTAAAATGTATCTGCGGCTGATGACTTTTTTTGACCAACAAGATGAAAACTTCTCCACTGCAACAGGTATGTGGACCGCACGGGGAACTATGTTCAGAAATAAATACCATTTGGTCACATTCCATGATAGTTTTTTTGGTCCTCTATGAACTTTTCAGTCGAACCTAACTCCCTCCTTAATTGTCCAAATTGTTCACTAGGGGACGCTCTCCATACACTATAAATACTGGGCGATTTCTCGCCTCGTTCTCTTTTTCATTTCTTTATTTTCAGCGAACACATGTACAATGTAAGCGCTCACTTGTGTGAGACGCCATGAACATTATAAACACATACACGTACGTACGAACATTCACCAAAATACAAACTCTTTACATTCACACACAAACACAAATGTTAATGTCTATGTCCATTGTAAATTTTGTTGTTTAATACATATATTTGTATATATATATATATATATATATATATATATATATATATATATATATATATATATTAATGCATGTTTCATTAAATAATATAGACCAGTTTTGGCTATTTATTTTAAGTAATTTCCTTTCATATTTTCTAATAAGCTTAATAACATTATCATTGAAAGACGAAAGGAAAACACCATATTGATACATGTTTAAATCCAATCTAAGATTTCGGCTTACACAAACCATTATCAAAGATGACAATTTCAATAAATCAAACAACAACAGACGAAACAACAATGATAGTCCGCCCTTGCTGCATGAAAATTTCCAAGTAACGACAAAATCGTATATACGAGACGCGCAAGCGAAAATCGCGTCGCA